ATATATATATGTATATATATATATAGTGAATATATGTATTAATAGAACTAACAGTGGCGTAGTGGTTAGCGCTTCTGACCTGGTCAGGACACTATCTGCAAAGAAGTTTACATGCTCTCCCTGTGCTTGCGTGGGTTTACGCCAGGTACTCCGGGTTCCTACCACACTCCAAAGACATGCTGATAGGTAAATTGGCCCTGTATGTATGTATGTATGTGTGATAGGGACCTTAGATTGTAAGCTCCTGGAGGGCAGGGACTGATGTGAAAGCACTGCGTACATTGTTGCCATTATATAAATACCTGTAGTAAATAATTAGGGTTTAACTTCACAATTGTTGAGAAAAAAACAATCCCCTCTGAGTGTTCGATGTAGATTGGAAGGATTGTAACAATGTTGCATTTTCCTCCAATTTTCTGTTCTGAAGAAATTGCTGCTTCTTTCACCATGTCTTTTTGGACTAATTCCTGAATGAAAGGGTCTGCCTTTATTCTAACCACCTTGTGCACTCTCAGAGTTCTGATAGGAAAAGCTGTCTGCATGCCTTTAGTAGACTAGCATTAGGTAATGTCTCACCAAAAAGGAAATTCCTATTGCAGGCGATGCCTAAAATGTTTAGTTGTATCTTAGTGCCTTGAAATGTTTCCATTTTTAGAAAATTGCAGTGGCTGCAGATTGAAATGGAAAGGAATTTTAATTAAATTAAATTACAAAATGGCTTGTGTAGCAATTTTAAATGCTATATATTGTTTTAAACAAAAATGGAGTTTCCCTTTAAGGTTATAAAATCCTTTTTTTATTGGATGCGATTTTACTATATTTTGGTTTACATTCAGAAATAGGCCAAAGTGTCCATCAAAAGCGGAAGCGACCAAGGTGTGGACAAACTATAACACTGTCACGGGTATTTACAGTGGTCACCTTTTATTCACATGGTTTAGGAGGTTTTTTTTCTTGTTTTTTTTTTAAATGTAGCTGCAAGTAATTGAGCACACCTGGATTTTAGCTAGGTCTAAAGCTGGCCATACACCTTACAACCATCGCACGACTTTCGTGCAATGGTTGTAAGGTAACTAAAATCTCGTACGATCTGCCCATCTTGGACAGGCAGATCGTACTTGCGATCATCGCAAGCCCTCCCCACTGAGAGGAGGGCTTCCGATGATTGCAATGCTGAGCGGGCAGTGTGCGTTTTCGCACACCGGCCCGTTCGGCATTTGTCCTCCGAAGACAAAAGACGTGGGACTGTACAGTAGAAACGTTTGCACGCCTTCCATACACCTGCCGATTATCGTATGATAATCGGCAGGTTTATGGGCACCTTTACACAGTATCAACCTTCTGGTCCCTAGCTGCCTTGAAGAGTTCCTCCTGCCCTCCCGGGCTGGCAAGGGGATCTACAAAACACAACAAGGGATCAGGAGATTGGTACTCCAAAAAGTGTTTATTTCTTACAAAGAATTTAGTTGGCTAAATTACCAGGGCATTTGGCGGTATGAGCAGCAAGAGAGGTTAGTATTTACTTGTTTTTTTTACCGGGAGAGCTTTATTTCATTTATTTTAGTGACAGAGTCACTTTAAGGAATGATGGAGGGCATGTAGGAGCTCAGCCTTCATAATTTTCAGGAGACTCAGCAGTGCCTTCAGAATTTTACAGTTACACTGCTTCCAGGTAGTCGTTGCTTTACATAATTCCTTCTCAAAGGAAAACTAGAAGAATAACCCTAGGGTTATCCTATTGTTATAAGAGGTGTAGTAGTGATTGGACAGGGTATCTGTATTCTGAGCTGGCAGCTACTCGGCGCCAAAGTATTTCCATAGTATCCTTGGCTTGTAACTAAATGAAGATGAGATTGAAGTGCCAGTCCAACCCAGTATACATGTTTATCCATCCTCAAGCCCTAATGAAAGGGGCATCCTCTGATCCCCCAAGATAAAGATTACAACCTTTGAGGTGCTTTCAAGATTTATTTAGACATAATACTTCTCATTTAGAAAAAGAGATTGATGGTTGTAAGTCTGGGAGCTGCTTCAACCATCTGCAGCTTAGGAAGCTATGAGTCATCAGTAATGAGTGAATACTGTATGTCTGAAAACCAGTCCAACCAAGGAATTGCAGATTTTTTGATTCTCGTGAATATATACATGTACATTTGTTAAAAATGCAGAGAATAATGCAGTTCATGATTCCTTACCACCTAAATTGCAAAATGTCATGTTTTTCTGTAAACTGGAGAAACAATCAAAAAGTCCTTAATTCCACTGACTCATCCTTACCAATCATCCCTAGACTGAATGTTGCTACTCACACTTCAAACAACTATTTTATTTGTTTTCATTTTGTTTTGTAATCTTTGTCATATTTGATTTATAGTACACACAATTGTGACACATTCCAAAATGAGACTTGCATTCCATTCTCACCCTTTTTTCTATAGTGAAGTGCTTCCAGGCTTGTGCTTGATAGGTAAGGAAGTATTGATGAATAATAAATCTTCCATCACGCCACCTATAGAGAGCTGAGCCAGGCTGATTGTTCCTGTTGGCCATCACAGCAAAATACCCCACATCCTGGATATGGAAAATTTCCAGTCCCATGGTTTCTGAAGCAGTGGCCAGTTTCTGATACTCCTCTACATAATCCAACTTCTCTTTCCCTAGCCACAAAAGAAATGTTTATTATTGCAAGTACAAATACCTTTTTATGTCTTTCATATTGCAATAGCTCTAGAATGTCTTTTTACTGATCTTTATTTATATTTTACAAAATTGAAATTTTTTTATATCTAGCTGTACAATTGTTTTCTATGTGCCCTTTTCACACAACACATCACATGTGCGGAGAAAAAAAAACCCTGCAGCTCAACAGACATGGTGTCGACGAAGCCCTAAAAACTACCAATATTCAAATGTTATTTTTAGTTTGCTATTACGCTTTTAATGCTTACATAAATGCCATTTTATAGTATTTGGAATAATTGCTTTAAAGAAGAACTCTGCTGGAGAGGAGGAGAAGACAGGCTAAAGGCTCCGGTCAAGGACCTAGCCGGGATTGTGGTTTGGGTGAGTATATATCCTTTAGTTTAGCTCCCTAGACAAAACGAGCACTTAACCCTTGCAGTATGTGACATGCTGTGAAAAGAAATATACATGCATTTCTACACAATATAGAAAAAAGAGGCAGAATTTTGCAACACTGCATCTGTCATATGTTTTCATATTTTGCTATATGAGCTATATTGAGCAATTTATCTTTGACTTAAAGTAATTAGGAGTATAAATTAGCAAATATTCAATTTCTTTCTTTTTTTTCTGCAATGGACCAACATAAAGCAAGTATTTCCAAAAAAAAAGAGCATTGGAAAGTCATAATTTACATTAAAAGATACACATTTTGTCTGGATAAACAGACCTTTTATGTGCCTGATACCTTTAAAATTCCAGTAAGACTTGTCTGGGATTGACTTCAATCCCTCGAAGTTATCACTGTGCCAAAAAAGGACCATATGAATGCTGTACGAGGGTGCTCGTAAAAAGCCATAAAATCTTTTCTCAAGCTTTTTTTTAACTGTCAAAACATTGGAAGTGAAATTCATCTTTATAGTATACTATTGATGCCAATTAAAAGTTAGAAAAATCACTTGACTTTGGAATGGATGCCATCATCATAGAGATGTTATTCATTGTTAGTAAAGATAACAACCAACACACAAACACTAGTGGCATGCTAACAATTAAAAATAGCATAACGTCAGCAGACAGTAGATGGAGTTGACGAAATGTTGCACTTAACCTAGGGGACTAATTTTATCCGTACCATTTTTATAAGCATATTTTTTTAATGCATTAATTGAGATGAATTAATTGATACCAAACATTTACAAGGCATTGCCTAACACCTGAGTATAAATTGTAAAGTCTAAATTTAAAAGTGAAATTGGCCTGTAGGAGGTCCTTAGATGGTCATTCGTTACTAAAGGTGGTAACATCACAATTCTGTCTGTGTGATGATCGATTGGTTGGTTGCATGAAAAGATTACCCAAATACTGAGCTAGTAATTTCATATTTGCTTTATAACATTTGTTGTGGAAGCACTTTCTATCTCTAGCAGAGACAAGTCTAATTCCAAAAAGCTCCACTTCAATCCTTATAATACACACACACACAAAAAATTTAGATTTTTTTTCAGTTCCAGAATTATTATAGAAAATAACATCGTCCTATTCCCTGTTATGTTTATCTTAGCCAATGCTATTTTTCACAATTGGGTCTATCAGTGTTCATCTGCTTGAAGAACAAAATGTTTTTTCTCTAAAATTCAGATTTTTTCAGCCTTACTGGGAGTACTGCAAGCTCTTTAGACAAAAGCTCCAATCTCCATTTCTCCTGGCCCTTTTTACAAAAACATTAACCTCTAGATGTTCCATAGTATGATTACATTAAGCAGTTCTGTAAGTAATAAATACATCTTTTAATTCTTTTTTTTCTGCAATACCAAGTAAGCTTCTGAACATAATATGATTTTCATTAAAATTGATAGCAAGACATTGTATGCTTCTTAAACTGTACAGACACCTCTTAGAACTTTTTTTTTGCAGCTTACAAATAACTGTAATAGTATATTGAGTTTTTGAATTGAACATACCAAGGGTGTATGTTTTAGTGCTTTGGGGTTGTGTCATTTGTGGCATCAGTTTGAGAGGATTCTTGGATCATTCAGAATGTGAAACAGTAGCCTAAAGTATGCATTTCCATCCAAGACTAGGTTTAATGCTGAGCTTTATGGCCCTCCCTGCATACCATTTGTAAAATGTTTGCAGTTATTGCTATAGTGTTTAGCAAGTACAGGGTCACATAATGGGATAATGACAAAATCATTATAGATATTATCATTGCACTCTATGGGCTTGAGTAATGCAGACCTGGTGATTGCTTAATATGGTGCCAGTCTCACAGCTAAATAGTGCTTTGTAGTGTATGAAAAAAAAAGGTCTGAGGCAAAAGGTTGGCTATGTAATGCCTACTGTATGTGCTACAGTATATCATTCACAATTGATTTGTATGGCACTGTTTGAAAAATAAGGAATTATTATAATTATTATGCAATGCACGGTGACCTTACAGGGCTCAGCCTTTTTTGCTGTAGTAATAGAAGTTATGCATGTAAAGTAATCAAATTAATAAAAGTTGAAAAAAGTTCCAACTTTCTTTTTTGTGAATAGTTGATGAATGGGGACTTAGCAAGGCCTCATTCTACAAGATAATGTACACACTTCCATACAGTCATTTAACACTAACAACTGTGTCTTGGCAAGAAAGATCAGATTTCAACCTTGAAAAGGCATAACATTATCTGTGAATTTGTTGTCAATTTCAGTTTGTTATCCCTGTTCTTATAGAATATAATATGGAAAAAGGATATGCATTAATTCAATGTGTTAAATACAACCCAGCATTTTAAGACCAATAGTCCAACTAAAAGCCCATAGAGGCCACTGAGGTTTTCTTATTGAAAAACGGGGCTGCATTTGGGCAAGCCTTAGCTCTGGGAGTTAGGCTAAGCACTCTAGTTGGAGAAGCCAGGTTCTGGATTATAGAGGGCATATGGGACCAGAAGAACAGGCAGAAGAGAGGTTTCCACAAGTATAAAGTAACAGGTTTGAGTTCAAATAAATTTCTTTGTGACTGAAAAGGACCCTGGCAAGGGTAGAGGCTTATCGATGGGAACACCATGACAAGCTGACTGGTCACAGAGTCAAGACTTAAATGCAACCTGGACTTAGGATCAAGGGTTTTTCAAAGGAACAAAGAAAATGATTTTAAGCAACACAGGAAGCAGATACATTTATCGCTCAGCAGTCTTACTTTCAAGCACTGGGATCCACTTGATACCATTACATAGGAAGAGACCTTTCAGTGATGTATCCATCCAGAATTGGGATATTTCATTGCTAGAACATGGAGGTTGGGGACCTAATGTTACTTTCATGTCAGCTTCTGGAAGAAATAAAAAGGAAAGGCGCAAATTTTGAAGCTACAGATGATATTACAACTGTGCGTGTAAACATGTTAGCTTTAATGAAGAGTTTGAATTTTAAAATGTGGAGCAAAACCAAGCTGCTGCTTGTTGTAACCAGTCCTTATCTCTTTTTAAATATAACTGGTTGATACTTGCAATAGGTACACATTTGCTTCAATATTCATAAATCATGCCTTTAGTTTTAATCTGTCACCCAGTTTCATATTAAAATCATGCATTTATCTCTATTTATCCTTTAAATTTATGTTACTTTCTTCCCTTAATAATGCCATCACCAGAGGTTATTTTAATTAATGTAGTTGTGTAAATATTAGGAGACATAATGAAAACATGGGATTGCTGCCAATGTACTTCTTACTGTTCCTTTGTATTTTACCTAAACAACCTAATTCCTGCATACATTATGCTAGTGATGAAGTCCACTAACCATAAGGGTACATCAGCTGAAGTCCGTTGTCATCATCGGTCTTAAGTGGCAGCTCTTTCAGCACTCCAGGGATGGACAGCTCTGCGAGCCTTGGTTTGGCATTAGGGCATATTGTAGATGTTGCATCAGATCCTGGCAGAAGGACAAGCTGTCTTAACAAGCCCTGGAAATAAAAATACAGTCCTTTAGCATCATGTTCTTTAAAAGTGCAGTTATACTCACCAGCTGGAAATACATTCCAACTTTGCAAAGAGCCTGTTGGAAATAAGTTTAAAAATAGGCATATAATGCTTTAGAACTGTTAAAACCTTCCTGGCTTGCCACCTAATTTGAATCTTAAACTATAGATCTGATTCAATCTTTGACCCTGTTTTATGTTTGCTGAACCTTTGTAGAAATCTGAAGGTATTTTAAAATGACATGTTCACAGAGCTTAAAAGCTGAGTCTGCAGGTAGCGTTTAACTAGATTAGGTAAAACTATAAAAATTCCTTCAATTAGGTATCTGTAAAACAGAAGAAAGTAACATTGAGATATGAGCATTGTTTGTATTTCTGAACTACCTAAATGAGTGTAACAGCTTAAACACTTTTATGAAATCTCAACAAGGCAGGAAGCAAGGAGAATGTCTCTAAATGGGGACACAGACATCAATGAATTGAAAACGTATTTTTAGATTGCCATTAAACCTAGAAAATGGTTCTAACCCCACCCCACTCAATCAAATAGTTGAAAAAATATTTTGCTGCAGTATGGCTTATGTTACATACTATGTCCCCTTTCATAACAGTTACCTAGATAAGAAAACATAAAGGGCTAGGTGCCTTCATGTGCCTTCTAGTATGGCAAGTTACTTAGATGATGACAATTGAACATGTAACAGCTTGATCATGGGTACTATCACATCAGCAAGCCCAAATATGCTCATGTCATCGTCTGGGAAGGGTAGCAATGATATATAATATATTGCTGAAGGTTTGTGGAGACCTGACCTGATGATGAGCTGTTGAACATTCCATTTCAAAGCCATGGAATTTAATATAGAGTTGCCCCTTTAATCTAAAACAGTGTCCACTCCTTTGGGAAGGCTCATCACAGTATTTAAAAAAATGTCTGAGGGAATATATGCCCATTCTGCTAAAAGAGGTTTTGTGAGGTCGGGTACTGCTGGGACAGAAAAGGTCCCAGCAGTACCTGAGGTTGCCATGAGGTTGAAAGTACACTTTGGTCTAAATGTGTGCTATAGCATTATTATCACCATTCACTAGAAAATCTTGAACTTAATAATTGGAGGGGTGCCATCTAAAATGTCCTTAGCTGTTGCAGTTCTCTGATCATTTGCTGATGAGTTTAGTGGGTATTATAAAACAGAATCTTTTTAACTTTGGGAACCTCAGTTCTACCAATGACTTTAGTTAAATAATCTAACATGCCAAACTTAGATCAATACCTACAGAGAAAAATCCTTTTCGTCGCCTTCTGTTTCCAACATAGATCCATGATTTGGTGGTGCTTAATGATGCTGGAAATGGTTTGCCAAGAACACTGAACAGAAGCAAAAATACTTGACTTTAATGTTATAATTTTAGTCATTACATTTATATTTATTATGAAGGTTTTGTGATTAGGCTACACCCTAGTGTACACATTACTGATAGTATAAATATATATCTAATATATAGAACAATATATTGCTTGTTGAAAAGAGACATGTTGCCATTTAAGAAAAACAAATAACCCATATTAAAACAAAAGTTGCCTATGAACAGCATACTGTGTATCTTATGCTCAACAATCTTCCTGAGATAGCGTGAATCCCAATTGGGACACCCACCGACAAGTTTCAGAACTCATTAAAAAAGGGGGACTTAACAGATTTATTTCAGGATACTTATCATTGTATTAAAATATTTGTGCAAAAAAGTTGGACTTTTGAGATACGTATAAGGAGACAATCATCTTAAAAAAACTATTGGGAAACAAGTACATACATTTCCCTCTTGTCAAAACCTTCATAAATATAATCTCATACAGCACCCACTAGCCATACAGTACATATTTACTTATAAATCGTTCATTTCTGTACAGTTACAGATGTGGTACACTTCATTTATTACCTAATTCTATATGACATGTATAAAAAAACAGCCATTCTTCCAATCTACATAATTATTTTCACAGCAACTATAATATGCATAGATTCTTAAGATAAACCTTTTTACAAACACATGGAAAATTCAAGGAACACAACAGAAAAAAATAACTTAAGGAGAAGTTACCCTCAGTATATACAGTATGTCAAATTAACAGTCATTTCCAGAGATATTGCCAGTTAAAGTTATACACACAAAGTATATAGTCATCCCTGTGCCTGCCTCTCCTGTCTTTCTATTGGACAATGAGGGCAATCACATTAAAGGACAAAAAGGAAGCCTTGAAAATTGCTAGGGGGTAGGGTCAAGCACAGCTTTTACAGGAAAGTTGGGATTTGCACACTTCAGCTGCCTAATTTTTTTCACTGCATGTAAAAGTAACCTTTTCACAAAAGAAGGCATTTGTAAATGTTTTATGTGAACATATCACTGTTGCTATTGCCACCCTCAATCATGTTTGAAATTCATGTTAAATTTCCAGGGCCAGTCAGATTTATGGAGGGAGGAAGCTTCTATGAGAGAAGCAAGTACAATAGCAAACTAAAAATGTGGTTGGGATGTAAAAAAAATGTTACTTGAGGAATCTGATCAAGAGATGTAAGTAGAGCCGTAGGTCAGATCAGGCTAGGAAGGTTAGTCATAGAAAAGTCAGGGCAAAACAACAAACAACAAATTCAGAAATGTTATGAATGGTATGTTGTCATCATGTCTGAAAAGGTGTGCTGTTAAGAACAGAACCTAGGAGAGCCTGATCTTCAGGGGTCCCACTAATGGCAATGATGGTATTAAACCACCAAGAATCTCCAGACTGTGGCCTTTAGGTTAGTATAGCTTATGACAGAGAAAGTTGAAGCCATAACTACAGTCAATGGAATACTAATAGTGATTGAAGTACAAAGGCAGGGGACTGCCGAGGCAGACAGCACCCTGGGTGAGGGTAGCAAAGCAAAAGGACATAACAGGATGAAAAGCATTACAAAGCTCCATTAAAGCAAGAGTGTGAGGTACAAAGTGCAAGGTTCAATGTAACAAGAGAATAGATGGACTGGCACGGTAAGATGACAATACATGGAGAAAAAGCACTTTGTCTGACAATGGTCTAGAGCCAGGCTAATAGGAAGACACTCTTAAATACCCATCAGTAAAGTACAAACACATAGGTAAGAGTGGGTGGAGTAGGTAAGAGACAAAGGGAAAGATAGGGTGGAGATACAAATCAGAGCAGGATTAAAACAAAGCCAGAGAGATACACTACTAATGAAGGGAGATGGAAGAAGGAGTGTGTAGCAAGGACAGCACAACACATGAAGACAAACTGAAAGCTAGGTAGATGTAGGCTAAGAACCTGATACATTGTAAATACATAGGCATGAATAACAATTTGAGGAGTAAGTTTTTGGCTGGTGATCTACCCCTGGAAACTTTAAATATTTCATCAGACCAGAACAGTGCATGGAAATCTCAACTGACAACATCTGGTCATTCACTGACACATGAGCAGGCAACAGATCATAAGAAAAGGACTGTGAACCTTACTGAAAATGCATGCAACTAATAATTACTTTATTTTTTACTTTACTTGTGTTTTGATAAACAAAGAAAAATACACTCCCAATTGGCATTTAGCAAATGATCACCCCCACCTCCACGTCACATATGAGATAATCTCTGATCAATTATAAGAGGACATAAATTCACCAGTTCTTATGAAGCTCGTCATCTCAAACCCCTTATAACTTTTTTTTCTAATTTTATTTTCAGTGAATGAGCAATGAAAGTCAATTCCTCTTCCATAGAAACAAAAGGGGGATTCTAAATTGCCTGACAAGCATTTCCAGCTAAAAGATCTCTACTACATAACAGGCACTTTCATTGTAGAAGTGCACTTGCGTTGTCGCTTGATCATTAATTCCTGCACTGTCCAACTATCATTAACATTACTGAAACTAGTTGTGAGTGAAAACCAGGTTGACTAATTGCAAACTGACAGTCATTTTCATAACAGTGCCACAAATAGATTATAAGCAGCACAAACAGGAACCTGCATGCACACCACTCACCGCCAAATGCAATTTCAAAGAAACAAAAGTTAAACATTTTTGTCCCCAAAGTCCCTTCTTAACTCTGTGGATGCTTTGCTTCTGCTAGGATACTGGCTGGATTTGTTTGATAATTTAGTGATCAACACCGTCTATCCTCAATGTATTCTACATGCATTACAATTCTTTTATGGGGGTAACATGCTGTTAGGTATAAAGTGCCTGTATATAACTGCAACAGCACCCAAGTCCCTGCTGTTGCACTGCATTGCTGGACCCCTCTGGAGGTCAAAGCTCTGACACTTCCTGGAAGTGACATATCTAACAAGCCTTCCTCCCTCCTGCACATTGCTATTGGCCCGTGAGGCAGAACATCATAGTGATGGGCAGATATGAATGTATAGGAGAAGCCGGTGGGAGCAAAGGATTAGAGTAAAAGTCCCTTTTACTTTTTACTGATACCCATAAATGAGAATGTAACCCTTGCAGTGTGGTGAAAGCTCCACTGCAAGAGTATGTTTTTCTTTTCCCTGAAATTCAGTTTTAACAATTTGTTAGACCCTCCATTACTTTTTAAAAACAGATTTCCCCCTAAATCAGCAATGTAACTGAATATCATAAAACTTTGAATTAGATTATGTGCAGTAGTTGTTTGCAATCTTTACATGTAGTGCAAATATAAAATCTTATCATAAAACCAGGAAAGGATCTCTTATACAACAACAATACCAGGCCACATTTAACTTCACAGCATCCCAATTCTATGTATTCTCTTGAAGGTAATGTATATTTATATTTGTTATGTCAGAATAAAAAAAAAGTTAAAAAATATTTTGAAGTCAGGCATGAAATAAAATATTATTTATAGTATTAATATTAACATTTTGCATTTTGTTATTAAACTAGGCATAAGAGCTTTAGGCTCCTTTTTAAATTTTTAAGGCTCTACATTTGCTATCTAAAGAAAGAAGTCCATTGTTTCTTAGAAGTCAACACCCTAAAAGGAGAACTATGGGGTAAGTGTTTTTCCCCATAGTTCTCCTAAGGGACGAGCAGGGAGGGGGGGGAATTCCTGCAGGGAGCCGTGAGTGACAGTCACGGCTCTCTGCAGTGACATGATCGAGAAGTGAGCGAGCGACAGTATGTGTTCACTCACTTCCCGATCTATTGAGCCAACGTGTGGCAGCTTCTTTGTCACAGGTCGGCTCGAGCTATGAGGTTGAGTGAAAATCACTCACCTCATAGTTCTCCTTTAAGCTAAAATTTATAAATGCAAGTGGATAACTCATCCACGGTAACACATCCTATATTAGACAGCTCATTGAAGATTAGATCAGAAAACCAGCGCTTGAAAGCAAGCAGTGTCTGCTGTGCTGTCTCTTTGGCTAATCCATAGTGCTCTAGCAATTTTATTTTTAATGTATTAAAGCAAACCTGTACTTTGTCCATGCGTCCTGGGCTCTGCTGCCCTTGGCTGAGAAAAGGGAGGGAGATCAGCAAACATTAGTTCACCAATCTCCTCCCGGCTGAATGAACCCCCCGAAGTGATGATGATTTACGGCCTGTTCACACATACTGCAGTTACCTGCATTGTACCACACTGGATGAACACAGGTCACAACAAGGACATAGAAAACAATGGTTTTATTGTGTCCCATTCACACCACAATGCAGGTGTGATGGCCTGAGCGCTGCAAACATGCTGTATTTTATCGCAGAGCACTGCATGCCATCACAGATTGTCACACAGCAGTTCAGTGCACCGCACTGCCATGCAGGGACCTGAATGGAGTGTCCGATACAACACACACAGCCAGAGCTGCCACAAGGCACTAGCCCTAGAATGGGATAGTGTGAATAATAATCAGTTCAGTGAACTTAATCAGTTCAGGTTTCTGAGCTGTCATTTCCTGGTCACAGATGCCGGTCAAGAACCTGATCAAGCAAGATCTCTGCACAGATATTATCATCAACTTTATTACTTCTTTATAACCATCACATTTCTGATAACCCCCTTCTATGTACCTTTTAATTAAAACTTCACATTTGATCCAAATAATCACTTGAACAGTTGATGTTTCTCCCAAGAAATTGTCCTGTATGCAATTGTCCTGTGCTGAGAGGTTACGTACTGTTTCTGAGTGTAAAGAATGGCACTGCTTTCCCCTGTGCCTAAGTCTATTTTGTTTGCTTGTTTAGTACTGGCCACCTTGATGAGTTGTGGCTCAGATATTTCTATTCCCCAGCAAAAGCATAACGTTTAAAAAAGATGCAATTTGTAAAACAATTTGTAAAACCAAAACTAATAATAAATTCAAACTATATTGTAATAATAGTTCCTTCTCCAGTTTTATGATGGGATAAAATGTATACTGAACATGTAAAGCATGCAGAATTACTAAATATGCAAGAAGTGTGGAAAAGAGTTTACTTCAAAAAAGAGAAATGCTTTCTAATTAATGACAATGTTTCCTGTGATGGTAGATATGCTATTTATGGCATTGATTGTTTTTGTGTATTGAGAAACATTGGGAGGTTTTGCTGAATGTTAATGACGAGGTTTCTTTCTCAAAGCAAACCAGTATTTTACCCATTTGGGACAAAGTCACAGTTCTCTGGATAGTAGTCTATCCAGAGTGGTCAAACATTCAGGCAAATCTGATCTCTGTCAGGGTAGCAACTCTTCTATGTAAATGGAAAGGGAAATGGTCACTGAGTACATCCGAAAGGACTCATGGACAGAAGATTCTCACCTGTTGGGGAATGGTTCTCTCATGTCTAGGGACAGCTTTAAGCACTTCAAGTGCTTTGAGGGTTTATTGCATTGCCCAATCAAACAGCTATTTCAGCCTGGAAACCAGCAGACAGCATTTGAGCTGACACTAATTTGTTATCATGCTGTAACAACTACATCACTTTGCTACGAGTTTTGGGACACAAGTTTTTACTATTTCTCCCTCCTATGAGCTTAGATTTTTGTGGTAAGTGCTGTACATAGGATGGATCCCTGCTTATGCTGATTTTCAGTTGCTTGTTATGCCAAGAGACAGTTATTATAAATGTAATTTTCCACAATTTGTTTTTGCTCTCAGCAGTCCGTTATTTGGTGTCTATAGGCTTGGGATGATCATTATTTTTATTTTATTGCTTACAGAATGAAAGATTATCAGTGCATTTAAACACAATATACCGTATCGCATAATTTGATGCCATTCAAAAATCTTTTAGAGCAAACAAGATAAAATCACACTTAACTTACATTTCTGTTGGTATATTGCAGTCTACAGTAAGGGTGATAGAAGTTCCAGACACAGCTAAAACCAATGTGTGCCATCGATCATCAGACAATGAGATGCTTCGAAAAGTAACTTTGGTCTGCCATTTATCAGGATGTTCTGTATTCCAGAACAGGAAATGTAGCTTACTTTCAGAGTACCTCAATCCAAGAAGAACACGTCTGCTTTCTTCAGTGATCATAGTGAACAAGTATTCATTTTTCTGTTACAAAATACAACCTGCATTTAGTACCTTGTAAATATACATAGTCTTCTTAGCAAACGCCTCTGGTTCTATTTCTGAATGTTTACTGTACATATTCATATATTAAGCATCAAAATTTTCAGCATGTTATTGGTAGTGACCTAACAGTAAGCAGTGCAACCAAAGAAAAACCTTTACCTTCACCATACAATATAAAGTGGCCGCCAATGAGGAAACAGTTCACCTTTACAGACAGGTGTTTTTGATTTTTAACTTTAAAATTCTTTTTTAACTTATGTATAAATAACTTAACATATAAAACTATATAAAATATTCCACAAAAGATGAAATTTCCTACAAGAGGAAATCTTTACTCTGACAGCTGTCTGTAAACTACTGATCAATTAATTTTAGCAAAATTCCTTAGTGTGACTTAGCCAAAAATGCTATTTCCAGAACTTCTGCTTCTAAAAAAGTATTCTAGCTTTGTATGTTACTGTTACACATATTCTGGTAAGCTACCTTAGCAGGAATAAGATTTAGAAGGCTTTCGGGTTAGCCTTAAGGTGGCCATACACTGTACAACCATCGCAAGACCTTAGTCTTGCGATGGTTGTAAAGTGATTAAAAAAACGTACGATCTGCCCATCTTGGACAGGCAGATCGCACTCTCGATCATCGCAAGCCCGCCGCCATGAGGGGCGGGCTTCCGATGACCGCAATGCTGAATGGGCAGTGTGCGCGTGTGCACACTGGCCCGTTCGGCATTTGTCTCCCGAGCACCGTTCAAACCAGCTGAAAATCGTACGATTGTTGGCTGGTTTTCTAACATGCTCCTTAGACAAAAGACGTGTGACCGTACAGTAGAAACGGTCGCACGTCTTCGCTCACACTGTTCGATTCTCGTACGGGCACCTTTAGAATGTTCAAGCTGCCAGTTGGTTTGATCTTTAGATTAGTGTGCCAGTTAAAGCAGAATGCCAGCCAAACAACTAACTGTGGAAACACATAAATGCAGGTTTACCTTCCAAACCATTTGTAATTAACCCTTGCCACGCTGAAAAACCAAAAATATGACCTCACAATTTATTTCTGTAACTTTGCATCTCCCTCTAAGTGAAGTCCATCTGGTACTCTAGTCTTTCCGTAAGCTGCCTAATAAGCTGTCCTTAAAGGAATGATTTTAACTCAGCCTCATAATCTGAGCCGTCCTGTGACAATGAAACTGTCACAGGTCGGCTCAGTAGATCGGGAAGTGAGCGAACACATACCGTCGCTCGCTCATTTCTCGATCTATCCCTGCAGAAAGCTGTGACTGTCACTCACGACTCCCTGCAGGGATTCCCCCCCTCCCCGTCCGATCCTCCAGCGCTTCCCCAAAATGAATGATATGCCCTTCTTTTATTGTAAGGAAGCCCACAGTTACAGCTCTGCGCAGTGTATTGAGTACACTAGCTAAGCTGGTCATTACACAACTCCCCCTCCCAGGTCAGCAAAAATTAATAGTAGTGAGTGAAGGTGTATTATACTAGGCAGGTTTTGTACATCAATAGTAGCAGACTTGGGGAGATAGATAGGCTTAGGCCACTCTTCAGCCCAGCTCTGGCAGCAGGAATTGGTATAAAATAAGAGGGTCACCTTGGGTGGAAGACTGGGGATCTTCACTGTAATAACTATAGAAAACTCCTCTGGAAAGAGATTACAGTTGTGGAATAGACGGGATGATGGAAAACTCAATACATGGCGTGATCCTGAAAGATGAAACCCACGGACTCCTTGAGATTGAACCATCTTCAACCCAGTCAAGGATTTGTTTGGAGAAATCATTTCTGACAGCATGTCTAGTGGTTGGAGGTCTATAAAGAGACAGTAACACACGATCATTAAATAAGACAATTCTGATGCAATGGGGTTGATTTACTAAAGGCAAATAAGCTTTTCACTTTGCAATTAAAGTTTTCCTAAGCATGGTGAATGTAGTGAAATTTAACTGTGCAAAGAATACTTAATCAAGTGCAAGGAAAATTTTAATTGTTTTTATTTTTGCTTGCACAATATTGGGTGATGCAAGTCAGCAGAGCTTCACCTCGTTCACAAAGCTAAGGAGAAACTTCTCCTGTAAAGTACAAATTCCCTTGCAAAGCAAGCAGTCTATTTGCCTTTAGTAAATCAACCCCATAATCTCTTATACAATAAAGACAACAAAATAAACATTAGCATTTATAACTATCATTAAATTAATATTGCTAACGTGATAGCATTCATAAAGCATGTTTTCAGTGACTCTTTATCATATAAAAATATATAATTTCTACATAAAAACAGAAATGCTAAAACATAAATACATGTGTTGCAAAAACACAAATTTGAAAGATAATATATGTTCATTAGCTGTATAATATGAAATGTCCAAATCTCTGGCCTATGTAATTTACTTCAAAGCATCAAAGTCCTGAGCTCAAGCCAACACTTGTTTTATTGCATTAATTATATCTATAGGTTTGTGGTCCCAGATTTTTCTGTCATGTTCAGTTTTGAAGTTTCTGTTTACCATTGGTACTTTCATACGATCCACTGCATGGCTGAGTTCTTAGACGTTGTCTCTCTGCTATAGCACAGTGACTTTCACTGAATGTTTTCCAGAAATATTCACTGTAGTTGGAAACTCTTGTCATTTTTCTATTTTTTTTTTCTACATAGCTGTAGAATTACCTTTTCAGCATGGTCTGCTAGTTCGGTTAACAAAAACATGAATGAATTCAGCACACAATTACTGGTCCTTTTGTGTTTTATAAGAAGTTGTTTATATTTCGTTTTGTGTCATTGCATCCTGATAAAGCAGTCTCAGTGCTCTAAATGCAACCTCAATGCTCTAGAAGTCTGTGTGATAACTTTTTGTGGTTTAATTAAAATATATCAACTTGACAGTGCATTTGCTTTTTAGCCTATGTATTTGTTTCTGGCTAACATAATGCAATACTCTTTTGGCTCCTTAATATGAAATTAAATACAATATAAGAAAAATGGTCAACATTGCACTTACATACAGTATTATAATAACTATATTATACGGACACATGTCTGTTTACATCTGGTTTCCTATAAACCAACATGGGGTCCAGTCATTTCAGTTTTTTCCTCCATCGCAAGATGGAGAAAAAAATTGGACAGACACGGATGTCACAGCTTTGACATCCAATCCTTACTGCTCCGATCAGGAGGGGATTCGTGCACAGATCCCCTCCTGATCAGTCCATGAGAAAGGGGCCTTACATGCAACATGCTCACAGTCCACAGCCCCCCCCCCCATTATCGCCCCCCTTCAATGGGGAATTACAGGGTTTTTCTCCACACAGCATCTTGTCTATATTTGAATTTAGCACAGCTGTGCATGCCTCTGTCTGCCGCGTCATTCATTCAGGATCTGTGAATGAAAATAATAGTGGTCCCATTGTAGATATCAATAGACTATAAGTGTGGAGATGTCACCACATTTGTAGTCCATTGATAACTTCCTCATTTTAGGAAAAGATAGAATTCGCCTTTAAAGCTCCTCTCAGGGCATTAAACCCCTCCACAGTGT